TCAATTGTGCTTCGGTTCCGGTTACGTGTTGCTGCCAGATCCAAATGAGTAAGAATGGAGCCAGGCCAAATAGATAAGGAATGAATAGATAGATAGACCAGATAAGTCTGGAATGAATAGATAGATAGATAGATGAATAGATGAATGGAATAGACCAGATAGATAGACCAGATAGATAGACCAGACCAGACTAGACAGATCAGATAGACCAGAATGAATGAATAGATAAGACCAGATCAGACCAGATAGATAGATAGATAGATAGACCAGATGAATGGAATGGAATAGACTGAATGAATGAATGAGATAGATAGATAGATAGGCCAAGATAGATAGATAGATAAATTCAAAACCAAAATCAAACCAAACCAAACCAAACCAAACCAATTCAAACCAATTCAAACCAGATGACAAATCAAACCAAATCAAATTCAACCAATTCAAACCAAACCAAACCAAATCAAACCAAACCAAACCAAACCAAACCAAACCAAATCAAACCAAACCAAACCAAACCAAACCAAATCAAACCAAACCAAACCAAACCAAACCAAACCAAACCAAACCAAACCAAACCAAACCAAACCAAACCAAACCAAATCAAACCATGAAACCAAACCAAATCAAACCAAATCAAACAGAATTCAAACCAATTCAAACCAAACCAAACACAAATCAAAACACAAACCAAAATCAAACCAATTCAAAACCAAACCAAATTCAAACCAAATCAAACCAAATCAAACCAATTCAAACCAGATTCAAACCAAGCAAACAAACCAAAGCCAAACCAAACCGCAACCAATTCAAACCAATTCAAACCAATTCAAACCAATTCAAACCAAACCAAACCAAATCAAACCAATTCAAACCAATCAAACCAAACCAAACCAAACCAAATCATAAATCAAACCAAACCAAATCAAACAAATCAAACCAAACAAATCGCAGCAAATCAAACCAATTCCAAACCAAATCCAAACCAAACCAAAACCAAATCAAACCAAACCAAACCAAATCAAATCAAAAACCAAACAAACAAACAAACCAAACCAAATCAAACCAAACCAAACCAAACCAAACCAAACCAAACCAAACCAAATCAAACCAAACCAAACCAAACCAAACCAAACCAAACCAAACCAAACCGGCAAACCAATATTAAACCAAACAAATCAAACGCTACCCGCTCCACACCACGCTACCACACCCCACTCCACACCACGCTACCACACCCCGCTCCACACCACGCTACCACACCCCGCTCCACCCCACGCTACCCGCTCCACACCGCTACCAAACCGCTCCACACCACGCTACCACACCCAGCTCCACACCACGCTACCACACCCCGCTCCACACCACGCTACCACACCCCGCTCCACACCACCCCGCCCACGCTACCACACCCCGCTCCACACCACGCTACCACACCCCGCTCCACACCACGCTACCACCCCCCGCTCCACACCACGCTACCACACCCCGCTCCACACCACGCTACCACACCCAGCTCCACACCACGCTACCACACCCCGCTCCACACCACGCTACCACACCCCGCTCCACACCACGCTACCACACCCCGCGCTCCGCTACCCCGCTCCACACCACGCTACCACACCCAGCTCCACACCACGCTACCACACCCCGCTCCACACCACGCTACCACCCCCCGCTCCACACCACGCTACCACACCCCGCTCCACACCACGCTACCACACCCCGCTCCACACCACGCTACCACACCCCGCTCCACACAACGCTACCACACCCCGCTCCACACCACGCTACCACACCCCGCTCCACACCACGCTACCACACCCCGCTCCACACCACGCTACCACACCCCCCGCTCACCACTACCACAACCCGCTCCACACCACGCTACCACACCCCGCTCCACACCACGCTACCACACCCCGCTCCACACCACGCTACCACACCCCGCTCCACACCACGCTACCACACCCCGCTCCACACCACGCTACCACACCCCGCTCCACACCACGCTACCACACCCCGCACCACACCACGCTACCACACCCCGCTCCACACCACGCCACCACACCCCGCTCCACACCACGCTACCACACCCCGCTCCACACCACGCTACCACCGCTCAAAACCTTTTTTTGAAAATTTTCACTTCTTCAATTTACACTTTTTGTGTAAATTTGCATTTTTTTTTTTTTTTTTTTTTTTTTTTTAATAAAAATTACACTTTTCTTGAAAATTTATACTTTTGAAAATCTTTACGAAAATTTACACTTTTCTGTAAATTTACATTTTTTTCCTGAAAAATTACACTTTTCTTGAAAATTTATACTTTGAAAATTTCACTTTCTCAAAATTTACACTTTGTGTAAATTTGCATTTCTGAAAATTTGCAACTTTTTTATTACACTTTTCTTGAAAAGGTATACTTTTTTGAAAAAATCCACTTTTTCTGAAAATTGCAACTTTATGAAAAATTGCAACTTTTTTTTTTTTTTTTTTTTTTTTTTTTTTTTTTTTTTTGAAAAATTTCACTTTTTCTTAAAATTGTTGACACTTTTTCTGTAAATTTACATTTTTCTGAAAAATTAGCTTTATAGAAAAATTACACTTTTCTTGAAAATTACTTTTTGAAAAATTTCACTTTTCCTCAAATTTACACTTTCTGTAAATTTGCATTTTTCTGAAAAATTGCAACTTTTTTTTTTTTTTTTTTTTATCAAAATTTATACTTTTTGAAAAATTTCACTTTTTCTGAAAATTTACTTTTCTGTAAATTTACATTTTTCCTGAAAAATTTCACTTTTTCTGAAAAATTACACTTTTCTGTAAAATTTATTTTTCCTGAAATTACACCTTTCTTGAAAATTTATACTTTTTTTGAAAATTTCACTTTTTCTGAAAAATTTTACTTTTTCTGTAAATTTACATTTTTTCTGAAAAATTGCAACTTTTTCAAAATTTCACTTTTTCTCAAAATTTGAACTTTTTCTGTAAATTTACATTTTTTCCTTTTTTTTTTTTTTTTTTTTTTTTTTTTTATACTTTTTTGAAAAAAAAAAAAAAAAAAAAATTTTACTTTTTCTGTAAATTTACATTTTTTCTGAAAAATTGCAACTTTTATGAAAAATTACACTTTTCCTGAAAGTTCACAAATTTTTGAAAAAATTTCACTATCTGAAAAATTACTATATTTAATAAAAACAAAAATTTTTTTTGAAAAAATACACATTTTGTGCAAATGTGCTGTGTGAGATTATCGCCACAGACTCTAGTATTATAAAATAAATGACCTATCTACTGGCTGGATAGAGCTCCGTCACGTTGGAACCCACTTTAAAGTAAACTTTTCGTTTTCTGGCTTATCAACTACAAACGATACAATTGATTGTAGTAAATTCAATTTTTTTGTAGTACTAATAATTAATCAGAAAAAGTAAACAATTGAACACAATGTAACAAAGAAAAAAAAATTATTTTAACAAATGTCTAAAAATCTTCAAACTATTGTTTAGAAACAGATGTCCATAACTTTAGATCGTTGGAAAGATCTACAAAAAGAGCAAGCATAGAAAAATACTAACTACGCCACTGCATTGTGCTTAAAATAGTGCATTAAGAACGTTCTTACAAATTTTAATATACCGAGAAATAAAAAAGTTATGGACAATTTTCAAAATGGTAAAAAATTCAAAAGACCCCGTATCTCAGTTGGCAGTGAAAATATCAACAGGCGGTTTACGCCATTAAACGTGTCTCAGAAATCGAGCCCATGACATCTTTGTCAGTTTTGCTCTATCTAGTTAGGAAATAGGTTTTCTCTGTCAAAACAGACCAATTTCAACCACCCTCTACAGGATGTAACTTACTACTTTACTAACTTTATTTGATATAGATTATACTTACTACTTTTTTTGATGTAGATTATACTACTATTACTATCAATTTTTCTTTTTTGTAAAAGTTTCAGTAAATTACAATAATAAGAAAGGAAAAAAAAACACATGCTAAAATAATTTCTATTTATTTTTTTTAAGGAAGAGGGGTTAAGGAAAGGGTTGATTTTTTTTGTGAATTTATTAAGTGGGAATATTTCTCTATTATTACCTATAATGTTTGACTCTTTGCCAAATTGTGGATAATTTATAATAATTATTAGAAATTATTAGCTTACGATTGAAAATAATGTTTTAAAAAAAATATTATTTATTTTCTTTTAGGAGGGTAGATCGGGACAGCATTTTATCTAGATTTAATATGAAAAAAAGAAATAGACATGTTGGTATATTATGGTTAGACATAATTTGTTGGAATTCTTTGGAAGAATTAAGATATTTATGAATTAATATATTTCAAATAGTAAATGGCAAACAGTATACGTATCTTAATTTAAGAATGCAAATTAAACCTCTTTTATGCTATGAATGAATGGATTTAAATTGAATTTTAAAAAATAAGAACATATACGTCCTCAAACTTATTGTAAAAATTTAACAATTTTCTCAACACTGTCTACAATTCAACTTACAAAACTTGGACGGTTCAGAAAAGCTTAAAATATCATTTTAAAACTAAAAATAAATTATCAAAAGCCACAATAATTAAAATGAAACCAATCGATTTATCGGACTCGTTTTATTATTAATGTATAATACAAAATATATAACATCCAATAAGGAAATATTGTTTCCTTTTACACTTTTTGTAATTAAAATACCCATTCCAATACCCAACTAAATTTCTTCTAAAATAAATGATTCGTAGCGGGAAACGCCATAAGCCCGGAAACAGGCTAACGAAATTACTTCTATTAGAAGAAGTCCCTCTCATTTTAAAATGATCAAATTTAATACACTTAAGATTTTTTTATGTTCTGTTAGTGAACTGCGGAGCGTTTAAAGCACGCGCTGACGACCCAAAGATGAATCTGACAGGATACCGGCTGCACAGGAAACTTTAGGCGACGGCAACGCCGCATCGGTCGCACCAGTCCTCTCTCTTTCTCGTGCGTGGGTTAAATGAGGTCGGCCACGTTCATGGGCATCTCGTCGATAGTTGTGTTGTAGAACTGCTCAATGTCGTTCAGCGCGCGCTTATCCTCCTCCGTCACGAAGTTGATGGCCACCCCCTTACGCCCGAAACGGCCGCCTCTTCCGATCCTAAACAAAGAAAAACACACGTGTAATGTACCAGACCACGGCCTTCATCCCTGTGGGGCAACTTGGCTTTATTTTTATAAACAAAAATATTTGAATCGAGTTTTTAATCAAATTTTAAATAAGTATCTTGTAAACATTAGATTATAACAGAATACTCAATCTACTACAACTGGGCAACCATGTTGGTTATCCGAGTTGATTAGTGGGTCGTAGACGCTAGTCAGTTGCCCCACCCCGATTAGATGCATCATGCATAGTTAAAAAAATTTAAATCAAATACTGAAAGGAACAAAGATTCTACTTATGAAATATACGATAATAGTGGGTGAAATTGAGCACACTGAGTTTAAAAAATAATAGATATATTGAAAATATACCATGTAATACGCTCAATTTAAATCATGCCAACCCCGATTGTAATCAAAGTCGAATTATTAATTATTATTACGCCCAATCGTGGAATACACGACACTTACCGATGTATGTAGTTTTCCCTGTTGGAAGGGAGGTCATAGTTAATAACTAAGGAAACTTGCTGAACGTCGATGCCTCTGGCCAGCAGATCCGTGGTGATCAGAACCCTGGAGGACCCTGTGCGGAACTGTCTCATAATGACGTCGCGCTCCTTCTGCTCCATGTCGCCGTGCATGGCGCTGACCGTAAAATCTCTTTTGTGCATGTTCTCGGTGAGCCAGTCCACCTTGCGACGAGTGTTACAAAAGATCACGGCCTGGGTGATGGACAGCGTGTCGTACAGGTCGCACAACGTTTCCAGCTTCCACTCGTCCTTCTCCACGTAGACAAAGAACTGCTTGATACCTTCCAGGGTAAGCACTTCCTTTTTCACCAGAATTCTAATGGGATTTCTCATAAAAGACTTGGTTACATCTAGTACATCCGGGGGCATGGTGGCGGAGAGCAAAATCACTTGAACGTCGGGACTCAGAGTCTTGAATATATCGTGAATGACATCTTTGAAGCCTCGCGATAGCATTTCGTCGGCCTCGTCCAATACGAACATTTTGATGCTTTGCGACCTTAGGGCGTTTCTGGTTATCATGTCGTATACACGACCGGGAGTCCCTAAAATCACGATAAATTTCATCAAGATTTGTCTACAGGGTGGTCCAAATTTGAAACTTATGTATGTATGTAAGTCCCTAAAATGTTTCGTTTCGTAGATATACAGTATGTCCCCGGATTGTGTTTACAAGATGAAAAACTTTTTTATTATTGGCATTTTGAGAAAAATGCATTCCTGATAAAAAATTTTCTTTGTTATAAAATGGTTAATCCCGTTTATACTTTTCCAAATTTCAACACCGTTATAGAGAAAATTAAGAAAAACATGAAAATATATAAAATATAATTAATTTTTCCTTGAAGTCCTAAAAATCAATACGCGTTTCTATGGTTATATCATTTCATTCTTTGATAGATGATTATTATTAAATTTAATTATATTTGATATTCTTTGCTGTTGTTAAAGTATCACATTTTCCGATAATTAGCATCACCCTTACTGTAGCACTAAACTAAATAAATCTTGTACTTCTTTAACATTTTAGAACAGCAAAAAATATTACGTTAATTAAATTTGTATGAATAACAGTTTATCAAAGAATAAAATCGAAATGATAGAAACGCGTTTTGTCGACACTTAGAAAGAATTTTTGAAGACTTAGAAAAAATTCAACAATATTATTTTCATGTTTTTCTTAATTTTCTTTAAAACGGTGTGGAAATTTGGAAAAATATCAACGGGCTTAACCGTTTTAAAACAAGCATTTTTTTTATGAAGAATGCATTTTTGTCAAAATGTTAATAATAAAAATGTTTTTCCTCTTGTAAAGACAATCCGGGGAAACACTGTGGAGTGTAGAAGTTTTATTTTTATTTCGATTTTTTCCGATTTATTTCTGACTAATGTCAATATTTTGATAAAATTTGGGGCCTGATTATTTTTTGGGATAAGAAATTGGATTTTGCTGTCAGTTTAACTCCTAATTGTGGGGGACGTCATCTACATATTTTATACCGGTTTTGAAGAACAATGACTGAAATTTATTTTTTTTTTATATTTTTTACTCAGTAATTTTATGCATGTACGACAAAAAAAAATATTCTTCTTCAAACCAGTCAAAAGTATGTATGTAGGTAGGCACTCTCTACAAGTAGGAGTCATATTGACATGGAAATTAAATTTCTCTTCTTAAAAAACTCCCACACATTTTTTCATCCAAATATCGATATAAATTCAGAAATTATTTGGAAAAATTGAAATAAAAATAAAATTTCTACACCTTATATCTCCAAAACGAAACATATTAGGACACAAATTTATAGAATTTTTTTTAAAGAAAAATGTTAAACATACACCGGGATCCCCGTTTGGAATTTCTAATTATAACAGTATAATGACAATTAAAAAAAACATTAATTATAAAAAAACTCTCACCCACAACTACGTGTGCTCCAGCTTCCAGTTTTCTCATGTCCTCTCTAACATTAGTGCCACCTATACAGGCGTGACACTGGGCGGACATAAAATCTCCCAAAGCAATAACCACTTTGTGTATTTGTTGGGCCAGCTCACGGGTGGGGGCTAGAATGAGGGCTTGGCATTCCCTCAAGGCAGTGTTGATTTGTTGTAGAATGGCGATGGAAAAAGTGGCCGTTTTCCCAGTGCCGGACTGGGCTTGGGCAATAACGTCGCGTCCTGTAATGCACGGTATAATGGCGCGCTGCTGAATGGCCGAAGGTTTTTCAAAACCGTAAGCGTAAATCCCCCTGAGAAGTTCTTCTTTCAGGTTCATGGCGTCGAAGTTCTGGGCCACCTCGTCCCAGTTCGACTCGATGAGGCCATCGGGGTCCATTTGCGCGTTGTCGTCTTGAGGCTCGTTCTCGGGGGTCGGCCCGTTCCTCTCCCATTCCTCATTTCTAAAATACATACAACTTATTAAAACATGAGTAAAAAAATTTTAAACATGGTTGGGTTGGTAAAAAAATGATAGTGCGTGGAGAACAAAGAAAAGGTTAGCAAAATATTTATCATATAAAAGTTTTTAAATATACATTAATAGGCCATAAAGCAATAAGAGATACATTCAACTACATAGGCAACTTTTTAACATTAATTGTATAATGGAAAACAGGTTTCATCCTTTTTAAAATTAAACGCTACAAGAGCCAAAAACTTTATTTACTGTAGTAGGTAGATTGAAGTTGTATAATCACCACTTTTTTTAAGCTATCGAAATACTTATAATCGGAATGTTCTAATCAGAACAGTATCTTTAGAAGATATTGTCCTGGTTCATTTTCATTTAAAAAAAAAACAGTAAAACAATAGAATTAAATAGATCTCTTTTGAGATAAAATAACTGTACCATATGGTGACGATTCACTTTAGGGCTGTCGCGAGGATTGCATTTAAAATAAAAATTTTGCTACCAAAACAAAGTAAAAGACATTTGTGAAAGAACTAGGTGAGGAATATTCGATTTCTTAAAACAGTTTTTGTAAAATAAATAACACAAATGGGCTGAAATGGGTACTATTTTTGACGCGGAGGCGGCGGAGTAATGTCGGGTGTTCGATATTTACGTTCCGATTGACGGATGGCGTCTTGTTGCTCTAACGCGCATGCTCATACCGGGAACATGGACGCTTTTAAATTTACGCTACCCTTGTACATTTTTTATTTATTTAGAGTTGTTGGTAACGGCGATCAAAATACGCCGTAGGCGTATTTTGATCGCGTTGGTTAGTCTCTGGTGTTTTTTGGTATTTTATATATATTTTATATATTCATTGATTTTCTTAAAAACTATTGCACAAAAGCTATGAAAATATTTTTGAGGTTAGAAAATTTTTCTCGCTTATTTTACAAAAAATCGCATTTTTCCTCACCTCAAGTTCTTTATTTTAGTCTAAAAAGGCAGAATATCCACTTTATTTTATAGAAAATTTGTTAATTTTGACAGCCCTAAAGTGAAACGGACCCTACCATATGATCGAAAAAAGAACCGCGTCCAGTTGGCTTGGAAGTGACGATCAATGACATTCCCCATATAATTTTACATATAAAATGATTTTCATATCATATAAGCCATGGCTGACTTCGTTTTTTTTCGATAATATAGTATAAAACAATTGAAAACAAAGTTGTCTGATATTCCCGCTATTAATTATTTGAGCGGTACGGGGCCTTTGGACTCGGTTTTTATGAAAACGGTCGGTGGTTAAGAAAAAATATATTTAATCCGAGGTCGTGGTGCCAGACATTCTTTATTGGACGTCCGTCATTGCAACTTTTAACACAACATTCATAGACTGTTATTTGGTACGTTTGAGTTCGTCGGGCCAGCTAGTTTCTTATAATTTTAAGAATTATTCAGATTGTGCCAATATTTTCATTGTGGTGTATATCAATGAAGTTGTGCAACATATTCATGATTCTGCATCCAGGAACAACTCCGGACTAGTCTCCGTAGGTATTTAGAAAATTGAACGTACTAATCCTAGGACTCCCATACAATATTATTCGTATGCCTATTTAGCAAAAAAATGTAAAATTATAGTTAAATATGGAACAACTCACCGCACATCGATTACAGACATGATTTACAACAGGTTTTGCCAAAGAAGGATTGCCTTTTGGCTTGGCCTTGGCACTCTTGGCAGTTTGGCATGTTATCTGTGGTACCGTAATGTACCGTACAATAGATAGTTCCGTACAGAGATATCTGGTTCCGTATCAACTATTACGTGTAACAAACTATTTGTTACACGTAAAAAAATATTTTTTACGCGTAAAATAATATTTTTTTAATTGATTTCTTTTTCAACATTTCAAACATATCCTTCAAATCCTCTGTTAGTAAGAAGTTTCGGTAATACTGAAGTTTCACTTCAAATATGCGCACATATGCTGTCCTCCATTCGCGAACTTCGAGTTCCGGGATTTACGCCTTGGGGCTACTCGAGAACGGTTCTGAAAGGAACTGTGCGCGATAGCCTAGTCACAGCCTAGTCAGTGGTCAGCGCCTTCTATTAAAAGATATTTTAATAGAAGGCACTGGCCTAGTACCTCCATATGGCGCGGAACAGTTCTGGAACTTTATCACTCAATTGAATGGAGTGAGAGTATCGCGTTCTTGAATAGTTCAGAGCTGCTCAACTGCGTGAAAGGAGGACAGCAATAGTACACACACAAATTTTTTATTCAAAATAAACGAAATACGAATGTTACATTTTTGACATCCGTCATAGGTTGTAGACTGCTGTGTCTGTGAGTGCCGTGCTGGTTTTAGTTTTGGCTTGTTTGTTGTTTGTTTTGGGCGTTTGAGCACAAAAGTGGCACAAAACCCACTTCCATATCTCTGCACAAAACAGAAGCGAACCGTTGAATCTCAGCGCATAGCGCAGTTAACCAAAGAATTATGGCAAAGAATATACCAATATACCTAGCTAGATCAGTGTTGCCATTGGCAGGGAAATTTCCCTAGATCTAGGGAAAAAATGAACTCTGCAGGGAAAAAGGGAATTTTTTAGTATTTCAGGGAATTTTTTAGTATTACAGGGAATTTTTTAGTATTCTGGGGAATTTTCAGAAAATTTTATTAAATTGTGTTTCTTAAATCGAAATACATTTTTAAAGCAAATATATCTTGCACCTATACTGACTAGGTAGAGTATATAGTCTATTCGTTATAGTATTACCAAAGGTATTACTCGGAATATATTATTTTTTGTTCAATATTTTTGTTTTGTTTATTTTGTGTTCTATATAGTAATATCATGTAATATTATTATGTTGACAGAATGGTTTTCAATATAATATAACCTACAAATTATAATAGGTAATATTTTTTTATGCAAAATCTGAACTAAATAGTTTACTATACTTATTTATTTATGAAGGAAACACGTACTCGTACTCGTAGATACCAGATAAAATACCTGCACATTAAAAAAAACATATAAAAAACTTTTTTAAATAGGAAACCGGGAAAAATCTAGGGAAATAAAACGTGTTCTAGGGAAATTGTAGGGAATTTTGGAACTGAGAATCTAGGGAACTTCTAGGGAATTTTTTGAGATTATGCTAGGGAAATAAAAATATTTAACCTGGCAACACTGAGCTAGATGACAGTTAACTTTCTGTCATTGATAATTATGTGGTGATTATGTGTTTTGACTGTTTTGCATATTGTTTTGTGGCTAACCTGTTCCAAGTTCCAAATATAAACATAAACGATTAAAAATTTAAACCATATTTAAAAGATTTAAACAAAATCATTCCGAACATTCTGATTGACCTACTATTATGATTGGGACCTACTACTTTGTAATTGTAGGCCACAAAGACAAGCCTTTATTTGAAATCGAGTTTACAAACAGCAAAGATCCGAAAGTGTGCCGTCTACAAACAAAAGTTTAAGCTATTTTCTGTTTGGACTATTAATTGTCGTGTACCACTTATAGCTTATTATCAGTTCAAGGTAGACGAAGTGCCTAATATATTCAGTCCACAGGAACGATTGAATGCCACTTTTAAACACTACAAGTAGTAGTCCAAAGCAGACTTTAGCTTTAGTAGCACTATTATTATATCTTTAAATTTTTAGAAAGAAGACCACAGGCATTTAAATCAATTCATAGCCCACTCTGCCTTGGATTTAATTGACGAGCATAAATGGAAAACCTACAATATGTACTTGAAGTCTGTTGACAAATTCAACCAGTGGTTTGTATCAGCATTTGTGACGGCCAGCCTAATTCGTTTTGTGATTGTTCACGACAACAGGAACGATGATGGTATTAAGAATTTCTTTAATGAAATTTACGAAGTGTATATCAAACATTCCATGAATCCCTTTTACGAACAAAATACCCCTATTAAAAGTCTGGCATTTGAAAGGAAGGCACAGTTGTATGGAAAGAAATATTTATCTAATTAACTATTTTGTTGGAAATTCACCATCTCATTTAACATCTTTTATGTAATAGGCCATTACCTACACTATAAATTTCGTTGTCAAAGGTCTTTTATAAAACATATTTTAAGTAAAATTTGACAGTAAATATACAATATTTTATAAAATCATACATACACTGTCAAATTCTTCATAAAATATCTATTAAATAAAATTGTTGACAAAGAAATTTGATATTGTAATAGTGGCCTTACTCTTTACTCAATATATAGAATGATGAATGACAAATAGGTACTTTTAATATTAATCCAAATATGTTTGTATAAAGGTAGTACCATATGATCGAAAAAAAACGGCGTCCAGTTGGCTTGGAAAAGACGATTAATGACATTTCCCAAATAATTTTACATATAAAATGATAGCGATGTTCATTTCATAGCCATCGCTGACGCCGTTTTTTTTTCGATCATACGGTATTATGCGGCGTGGGGCCGCGGCGACTTGAACGAAGATAGGAAATACCATGTAAATTTTCAAAATGCTAGAATAAGTTTTTCCCATTTTGTAAAAAAATATGGCTCTTTAAATATAAAAAGTTTTCAATTAATTTAGTGTTTTTATCTCTCATAACTCCAAAACGAATTCGTATAAATTATTTAAATTGAATTAAGTATTTAGTATAAAAAGATTCGAATACATTTTTTCTATAAAATAGAACAGAAAATTTATTTATCCAAAGTCTATACTAATATATAAAATCCTTAAGTGACTGACATACTGATTAATCACGATCCTGCTCAAACCACTTAACGTAAGTAGCTCAATTTTGGCATACAGGTTGATTCTAGGGTGTAGTATAGATCTAGTATAGCATAGATCCAAGGGGGTGAAATCACCCCTCAAATATTACAATATTTTTTATTTAAAAAACGGTCAAGTTTCCAGAAAAACGATTAAACATGTATATTTTATTTTGTTTTTTACATGTTAGGATTTTTTAAAAATGTATACAGGGTGTTTCGAAAAATATGGTCATTGATTAATCACGATCCTGCTTAAAGCGCTTGACGTCAAAAGCTGATTTTTGGTAAACGGATTGACTGTGGGGTGTAGAGGTTCGATAAGGAGGGGTTTCTCGAATCTCAAATTCCAAAAGGGTGAAAACGCCCCTCAAATATTACAATATTTGTTATTTAAAAAACGGTTAGTCTTTCGGGAAAACGCTTGGACAAGCATAATTTATTTGGTTTTTTACATATTTTGAAATTTTTTAAAGAATCATACAGGGTGTTCCAAAAAGTTGGGTAATTTCTTAACCACGATTCTGCTTAACGTAAAAAGCTTATTTTTGGCAAACGGATTTTTCGGAAGTCAAATTCCAACGAGATGAAACTACCCCTCAAATATTACCAAGTTATATAATAATATCGCCATATTATTTTTTTTCATGCTGACATAAATGTGAGAAAATTTTATCCAGTTTTTATGTTAATGGAAATTCTTGCTTGGCTTTATCATCACCATTACAAATGATTAATTCGACGCGAACGAAGTCGCTGGTACATGCTAGTAAATAATAAAACAACAAAGTAACACTTTAAATATAAAACCTCACTGATGTATATTTATTTCAAAATTGGTTGTTTTACCCATAACATTACATTAAAATTTAACTATATACATTATAGAAATTTATAAAACTTATAAACTACAATTCTTGGCCCAATAACGAAAGTTGCTTTAAAAATTGATTAGCATTATTCAGTGTAGATGCGCCATATGTTATCCTTTTAATATTCCCAGCTGCTGTTTTTGCCTAAAAAATAAACAATTAAATGCCATACGATCGAAACTAACGGCGTCAAAGACGGCTGGGAAGTGACGATTGATGATAATTTTGGCGAGGTCGAGCCCTAGACGTCATTTACTTAGCCCGTAATCTTCTTTATATTTTAATGCGCGTCTTAATTTTTCAATTTCCTCTAAAACGGTATGAAAATTTGGAAAAGTATAAACGGGATTAACCGTTATAGAACAAGAACGAATTTATATGAAGAATGCATTTTTCTCAAAAAATGTCGGTAAAAACAATCCGGGGACAGACTGTTGGGCCCGCCTAAATTATCATCGATCGTCATTTCCCAGCCCCCCTTGACGCGGTTTTTTTTTATATACGCCGGTATAACATATTTACAATAAAAAAAAACCTTAATTATACCTTAGCATACTCTACCAAATTTTGGTACTCAATGTAATTTCCGCCGCCTACTATGAAAACGATAGCCTCTTGAAATGGCGACCTGTTCTTAGGCACTTCCGTCAATTTCAATTGTTTGGGATCGAAGTAATGGTAGTCCTCCGTTTCGTGGCTATTTTTAAAGTCCATCAAATGGTCGACAATTTTCGTCACGGGCAAATTCTATAAGAAGGTGTTTGTGTTAATTTTCGCACGAATTTGAAAGCAAACTTGTTTCAATATTTACATGTCGCTTTACTACCAAATTTTTTACGCCCTCCATTACGAAATTTGAACCTTGCGAAACCAACTTGGAAAACATACTGACTGTCTTGGTACCGGCACCTTCATACTGATTAATACTTCCGCTAACCATTTTTGTAAAACTCCTTAAAAAAAGCTGTTAATAAAGAAGCAAAAGAGACGCACAATATCCATACTTCCATCTTTTGATATATGCCAAAGGACTTAAATCGCACCCCGCGCCGACCAAGGCATTTTCAAATTTTTTTAGATCCAATTCAGACAAGTGAGCGGTACAAATATAATAAATTATAAATAGTCTCATTTTATCATCGGGACTTCCTATTTCGGCATCGGAGATAATGTCCAATATCGATTTTTCCAGTTGTTGTGTCTTGCTCATTATTTTTTCTTCCAACTCGAAAAACGTATCCAATTTTCTCAACTTGATTATATTTAATATTGCTGTAAATTTCATTTATTCATTACTAATAAATTACAGCATTTATATTATACCTGTAGCAATCGAGGTGTGCATATCAATCAATCTTTTCTTCTCCAGCAGTTGTGGCAAAGATTGTACTGCTGATGTAATTTTAGCAGTGTTGTCTGAAACCATTGATACTGCCATCTCGTTCTCGTTGTCTATTCCCATTGATGACTTTAGTTTCTTGACTTCTTCCTCCGAGGAGCGGTAGTGCTCCAACTCCTCCTGAATGGCTTCGGCCACGTTCGGAAATGGCGAGTCTTTGTGATTGCCCCAAAATTTGTCTTTCGAGTCGAGTTCGTAGGATTTGTGTTTCGGTCTTACTCCTTCAAATATAAACTATATTAAAACTACATGATTATAAGTATCTTCGTATTATTTACCTCCTTTTGGTATGGACTCTTCCACAACTAATCGGTTCAATGCCAAATCCAGGAGATCGTGTGCTAACGCCTGATACGTCCATGTGTGATGTAATGGAGTGGCCATATCCACATTTCTATCTAATATGATAAGTAGCGGTCTATGGAAATTAAAATTTCCTGCCTGTGTATCAACAGAGAACAGATTATTTCTTGCATCAAATAAATTATCTTTTAACTTTTTATCCAATTTTTTTGCAACCATCTCTGCTGCATTTCCTTTAGGACTTCTTATTATTGGAACAGTGCCTTAATTTTAAAAATAGAATTATTAGGAATTTCTAATTTTAAATTTGTTAAATGTTTTATTTATAATATCCACATTACACATACCTGCTGTTACAAAAACTGAAAATAAACATTCAACAATTGTATTCATAATACTTTCCATCTCATTATCTCCAACGTCACCTTTGTTTATTGCTAAAAGATATCAATTAGTCTATTAATTACTTTAATTAAACAGCAGCTACCATAATATGAGAGAGTGTCACTATTCTGGTGTCTAAGCATAAACATATCATCTTCAAGTGATATAAAATTAACATATTGATCATATATCTGGAAAATACATATATCATTTGAACAAATAATTATATTATATCTACCTTGTGAATATTTGCCACACAATTAGTTTCTATAGCTGCAGAAGCTAGATCTTCTAGTTTGGCTCTTGAAATAGGTGAAATAAAATTTAGATGATAAATATCATAGATATGTTTTTGGAAATCCTGTTTAATTCTACCCAAATTTTCTTCTGTTGGGGTACAAAAGTATACTACCGGTACGTCGGGTATAGCATCCCGATCAGAGTGCAATTGCCTAAAATAAAGCAAATTATAAAGGATGTTTTATCTTAGATATAGACACTTACACAAATAACGTTACGCCTTGCTCACGTAATTCCTTTACCGAAATAAGGGGAGAAATAATGTCTTGTCCAATTCTATCATATACCAATACTTTCCAAGAAGGTTCTGCAGATCCAGATTTCGGCAAGGGTTGGTTTAAATTCAACATTTGTCGTATAGCATCTAAATTAATCAAGTAAAAAATCACATATAACGAGATATTCATTATTACCTTTATGCCTTTGTCGCAACGAAGTCATTTTAACAGGTCTTTTAACAAATCTTGAGAATTGGTCTTTTAAAATTCTATGCTAAAATTTAATGACGTGACAACCGCTGACAAAACAAAATAAACAACTGACAACTGTACCATAGATAAAAAATGTGACAACATTAGTGACAACTGATGACAAATGACAACCTATAGTAGAACCACAGAAAGAAAATATTTTAAGGGATGAGCTTGAAAATAAAGAGGTTTAAAAATTTAATTTTATAATATGACTAGATACAACAAGTAATCAAGGAAAAGATAAGTAAAACCCTTGTAAAACCAAAAGTGCCAAAAGGTACATTAATTAGCAAAAAATTGAAAGATGATCATCGTCGTTTGGCATCTTTTGACATTTGGCAGTAGATGCTTCTTTTATTTTTTATCCTTATCTATGGGCTGCTCAGCTGTTGCTTTAAAAGTCAAATCTGTGGTCAACCGTCAAAGTCAAAATATCAAAAAATTTTTAATTTTTAATTTTTTAGTTTTTAAGATCTGTGTTTAAGATAATCTAGGGCTGTTCTGTGATCTAGGGTTTCGTTAGTATATTCTGTGATCTAGGGCTTTCTTAGATTTTCTTGAATTTGAAGTCTTACTTAAATTTATTTTTCTTTGCAGTTTACCCAATTAATTCAAACAAATGTTATTAAAATAGTTGTTCATGATGGAAAAAACACCATAGTATGTAATATTTTTAATATAAGTGAGGATATACATTTTTTGAAAACAAACGACATAGAAAGTTTACTGCTTTACTTAAAAAAGACAAAAATGGCTTTCAACGGAGTCAATATATCAGTTGAAGCGCCAATCGAAAACCAAATTCAAGAGATCACTTATGATGGAGTAGAAATTTATCAACCGTACCACATTTACATTTCTTGTTTTAAATTTTTTATTGTCCCATTGTTTTCAGACCTCTAACATTATCTGAGAGCCTAGCAAAATACGCCCAAAAGATCGACTTCAGTAAAACCGAGGCAGATTTAAAATGTGAAGATACTCTAGACGATTCTAAATCGGACAGCGATAGCAAAGAGGCATTTCAGTCATCTTTATGGCCATGGGATAATGTCAGAAATAAATTGAGAAATGCCTTTCAAGAAATATGTGTTTTAGCTGATGTATTAGCGGTGGCAAAAGATAAGAAATATATGGTTTTAGACCCGGTACCGCAAGAACCACTAGAGACAAAAACTATGGTCCAGATATTTGCAAGAAAAAAAGCTTTGGCAGGTTTTAGTATTTCACTATTTTCCTTGAGAATTGATGCTACTCTATTTATATTTACAGGGGCTGCTGATGTTTTGCTTGCTGGCGTTGAGAAACTGAAAACTTCCCAGAATGAAGCAGCTAGAAACCGTACTACACCCGACTTTCATATAGAATTGTTAAGATTGCGACAAAACTGGAGGCTAAAGAAGGTTTCCAACACAATTATAGGGGATTTGAGTTATAGGACAGCCGGGTCTAAATATTTGCAAACTGGAACATTCGAAGTAATTATGATTATTATTATGTTGCTTAATAGTAAGTTATCATATGTATAGGTGACTAAAGCAGAAGAAGATGAAAAATCTAGTAGTCCTCCAAGTAGTCCAGGGGGCGTTCCTCCCATTAAACCAAGCAGTGCACTGAAAGTTTCCATTCCTTCAGAGTTGCAAGGGGTTGCCTATATCGAAGTTTTATGTCAGAAGGGTAAACAATTTGTTTTCTCTGCTTGGTAGAAATAATACTCAAAATTATTTTAGATCAAGAGGATCTCTGTTCGGCCAACATAAATCTACTCGGTTCGGGTGCACCTTCCTCCAATCCCGACATGCACTGGCAACAGAAACTAGAAGCTGCTCAGAACGTTCTCTTTTGCAAGGAACTATTCAACCAGTTGGCGAAGGAGGCTGTGGAATTGCAAGCTCCCATTCCACACATGGTTGTGGGAAATCAGATCATGGCTACCGTGTTACCCGGTATCCAACTTATTATTGCCCTGAGACATTCAACTACGGCGGATAAAGTATTTGTGTTTTTTTTGAATGTTATTATTTAATTAGTTATCAATTTTAGAAGCTAGAAAAGCCGGCTCCGTCAAAAAGTGAACATGATCACGTGTTAGAACATTCCTTACATCAGTTACTGAGAGAAGTTCACCATAAAAATACTCATCATCCGTTTCCTCATCCCGCAACGGGACCTTTGGGCCCATCTAAAAAAAGAATGATGGCAGGTGAAAACACTATAGTCTGCCCAGGGAGAAATTATATCATTTTTACTGATAATATCAAAAAAGTGACACAACAAATCTACTTTTCAATCTAAAATTAAATATTAGACAACTTGTGATTCTAGTATATTCTTCCCCTGGACAAGCTATACACGATATATGATAGGTATTTATAATTAAAATCTATATTTGGTAGGGCCTATGGCTGCTGATCGATACGAACTCCTCGAAATGACCAAACAAGAAAAATTACTCGAGCAAATAGTGAAACAGGCGCAACATTTTATTATGCGCATGCGTACCGAGTACGTTTTGGACACTATAGCCAAGGAGTTTAAGGATCCTTTGATTTCGTCCCACTGGAACACTCTGAACAGCCCCACGCAGTCCTGCGTTAAGATAAATATATCCACGCACGGATACGATGCCGTCTGTAGGACTCCTTTGGTAATACACGTGGGGGAAAAGAGTCTAAAATGTATCTGCAGGTAATTCTTCAGGTGAAACACCCTGTAGAATTCTACAGGGCGGCGTTTCAAATTCGGTTCTCACTATCGAGATCTCGGAAAGGGTAAGAGACGCAGGGTGGGGCTAAAGTTGCCTGTTAGTGAGCCCGTCTAGTAATCGAACTTATCTTTGTCATTTCCGGAAATATGGCGAAAAACTGAAATTTCCGGTTTTCGTTTTTATTTTTTTATCAGTTTATTTTGACAGAAAAAAATACAAATACATTCTCAAAGCAAACTTTTTCAGCTCTATTCTTGGGAGACGTCAAAAATCACTTAAAGGTGCGTATTCATTAAGGTGCGTATTCATTATCCGAACGAACGAACGAACGAACGAATGAAAGTGCGGTATATTTAGACGGGGACCGAACGCATGCGGCCGTTCGTTCGTTCGTTCTCTCGACCATCCGTTTCGAGTCGGTACATCAAAGGCGTTCGCCAGCAAATGCCTCCGGTCTTCTCGTGCGGTCCTATCGTGCGGTCCCCATCCATACCACTAGCGAACATTCGTTCGTTCGTTCGTTCGTTCGTGCGGATAATGAATACGCACCTTAAGACGTTTCGTATTTTTCTGCGACCGTCTCCAACTTTGTTTTTTTTTAAATATAGCGATTTTTTATTTAATTTATGCCCTCCGAATGCAACGATTATCACTTATTTACCCTAAAAATGTTTGTTTTTTTACACGCACATAACAAAAGAGACCCGTATACCCATCTCCCTCCAAGACATTGCCTTTTTTAAGAATATTCCTTACATCATCGTGTATTTGAGACGTTAAGCTTCTAAAAAATGAAATAACATACTTAAAAAAATTCAGTTGACAATGGTTCCAGAAAAACGAAATGTAGGTGATTTTTACACTTCACCAAATAACAAAGTAAAAAAAAAGTCGCTTTGGGAATGTATTTGTAGATTTTTTTCCGACATCCCACTGGCGAGAATCAAATTTGAATCACCCGGTATAAAAAATGATTTAATTTAAGAAACTGTGTCTGTTTAAGGGATGGTAAAGTGATGAACATGAGCTACGAACCGCAAGAACTGAGAGATTTGATTTTTTGTCACATAAACCAACATCAAATTTTAGCGATACAAGCTCTGGCCAAGACAATGGGCTGGCAGTCCCTAGGAAATTCTAATCATTTAGGTAAGTACCGCGCCATCAAATCTAGTAGGGACTGCAACCTTACCTTATCCGTTATACTGCTCATTCGCCCTCTTGGCAAAATAACGGATGACTCTATATTTAGAATCTAAAAAGCCTATAATATAGGTTTGCTTAAACCGGTACACCCTGTGTGATATCCTCAACATAGCACCTTCAGATTAGGTCCTAAAAATCAACTTTTTGATTTATAGGCAGTGGGCCAGTGGAACCTCTAGGAAACGCAGCTTCCTGTCTGCTGGTTTCGCCCACAGGCGACCGGATTATAGCGGTGCGTTGCGAGCCCCAGGCCAGCGGTCTGCAGGTTTCGGTGGCCCATTCGCCCAGAACGGATTTCTTTCCTAGCCGCCTGGTGACCGAACGCAAGTGGGAACACCTCGGAGGCCAGTTTAGGGACGTGAGGCTGGATAAGATGGAGGGAAAAAATTTTCTACACAAGATGGAATTGCTGATGGCCAGTTTAACCAGCAACTCGTAAAGATATATCGAAGGAAAATCATTTATTAATAAGAAATTTAGATATGATTTTGTAAAAAAATATATTAAATAAACGATTTGTGGAGAATTTTAGTTTTTAGTACTTTTTTCTGGATTTTGTCCCGATATGAGAGCTCACTTCCGGAATTTATACAATAATTTGTATAAACGCCTAATTGATTACGGCGTTCTGTCCAATTCAGGCTTGCTAAGTTTTAAAAGCAGATAAATCTAGAATCTAATTAAAACCCAATTTTATTAAAAACGTTATTATTCTAATAATCTATAATATTATAAAGGTCGTTACTCTTCGGTAATGAACCACTTTCTGAAGATGCGCTGTCATTCTGTACATCTGTAGACATTTTTCTTATAACAAATGCCACGAATTCTGAAGGTGTGATAATTTGAGAGTTTCGATGTTTGTAGTATTCTGCTGTTCGTCTATTTGGGAAAGAAGATGAATTTTCCAATACTGAAAATATGTCCTTAAAAAACACGTATATTTTATATAATATTTACAGCTATCAGTTTAAACTACAAAAATAAATGTATACATAATTAATTCAAAGATCATTTAACGTTACATCATACCGGGTGTTGCATCGACGGACGGGACATTGGAAATCTCATGTAAATTTTAATGGGGTCAATTATTGGCTGCCCTAATTATTTTAGAGAATAATTCTATTTAAGTTTATCGAAGAGCACTAAAACCCACATTCAAAAGAATAACTGTAGATATTTTTGATTAGCCCGTTTACGAGTTATCGCCGATTTCTTTTTAAATATTTCTCCTTTCTTATGGCCCTGTATTTACTTATGAGCACCAGTCAAGGTAAAAGATAACTGTCAAATGAAGTTGTCATTTCAGAAATTTACCTATTTAGTGCATTATTATTATTGAAAACTCATTCCTACATCGGAAATCTTAAAGATGTATTTATATAAATACAAATTAATATGCCTGCCGGTATAAAAGCCGGCGGCCGTGGCCTACAGGGGGCAGTTATAAATATACAGTTGACGCGCTAAAATTCAAAATAAATTCTTAGTTATAAATCGTTTGTAAATAGTTCTATAAGTCTTTTATCGTTATTATTTTTGTTAATTAGTGTTAAATAAATAGTGTGTAAATAAATTGTGACTTTCTATCCACACGGAACCGACGAAAAACGTAACATTACATTCGTTAGTTGGAAAACTGAAATTCTATTGCATTCGGCAGAAATAACAATTTTTGACTCGTTTAGATTTGGGTATTTTTTTATCCTTGTATAAAATTTCTGAAATGACAACTTCATTTGACAGTTATCTTTTACCTTGACTGGTGCTCATAAGTACATACAGGGCCATAAGAAAGGAGAAATATTTAAAAAGAAATCGGCGATAACTCGTAAACGGGCTAATCAAAAATATCTAAAGTTATTCTTTTCAATGTAGATTTTAGTGCTCTTCGATAAACCTAAATAGAATTATTCTCTAAAATAATTAGGGAAGCCAATAATTGACCCCATTAAAATTTACATGGGATTTCATATGTCCCGCTCGACGATGCAACACTGGTTTATTGTCGTTTACAGTGTGTCAAAAAAATAGTGTATCGAACTTCGGTGGTTACAGATAAAAATATATTTGATAAGCATTGATGACGTCACGTTGAACGATTGTTGAACATGGCCAAACTATACCTACCTCGTTGCTACAAAAATTGATATCATCTGAAAACATGGGTATCATAGTTGAATTGAGAACATCCTCCAGTACGTGATCAGATTCGAGATCTGTTTCTGGCAAAATAGTTCTATTACAATTTTGTTCAGACGCTGAATTTAACACCATCATGGATTCAGGAGTAATCTAAAAGAAATATATAATAGTACTTAATACAGATAATAAAGAGATATCGCTATAGACCGCTAGAGAATGACCAACCGTAGACGCATATATATTTTATTTTCGAAGTGAAACTTCATTACGCGCAAGGGAGTAAAAGTTAAGTTCAAAAATATTGATATTTTAATACAAATTTTGTAAAAGCGAATCAAACTATTTATTAATTTATTATTTTTTCAACATTTTAAACTACATTTTTTCAAACATTCAAACCCTTCAATTTAATAGCTGTTAGTAAGAAAAGTTTAACTTCAAATATGCGCACTTAGTGCACTAAAGTGTGTGAGTGGCAGCATCTAAACCCAACCAACACTCTGAAAAGGAGTGCTGCACGTTAAAATTTTGCAATATTATTCTATAGCAATGAAAATATTGTATGATCGAAAAAAACTGCGTCCAGAGTTGGCTTAGAAATGTTGATCGATGACATTCTTCATACATTCTTACATAGAAAATGACAGCAATTTTCATTCCATAGCCATCGCTGATGCAATTTTTTTATACGATATGTAAAAGCAACCAATATGGGCGGTCGCAAAAGTGGCAAAAAATACAGTCGTGTCATTTATGACACGGCGGATTCAAATTTTCAATGAACTCTGTAGAATATTAGAACTTTTTGGACTTACATCATATTTTTGAAAAACAATTATATTTAGTTTTTCCAAAAATTTTGAAATAGTTTCTAATATTTCCGGATGAACATTTTCACTTTCGTATAGATAACTAAAAACGTTCAAACATCCATTATGACTTAGTTCAGTTAGTATTTTGTGAATTCTAATACGACATTCTTTTTTAGTCATGACTACCACTTTTTTTGAAAATATTACTGAAGGAAATTTTTGGTCCATCCATCCTAAAATTATTGAATTTTTTAATTGCTATTGAAAATTATTTTATTACAATTTACCTTGACTACGAAACATTTTTCTGGCGACGTTTTCCCAAAATGTTACAGCAGCTTTTTGCACCTCTACTTCGTTGCAGTATAAGGCTGTTTGCTCCATACATGTATATATACTAGCAATCATTTCTTTCGGTAAAGCATCCTCTTTGAAGTAAAGTTTATCGACAAAGTTTATAGCCTCACTTTGAACTGCTGGATTATTATATTTTGAAATAGTATCTAAAACTTTATTCTACAAGAACAGAACAGGAAGTTGTGACTGTGAGTCGCACAGAAAATTTATTTTACACAGAACTTCCTTTCCAGCAACTATAAGTAGTATAAGTTTATTTATGAGTAAAATTTTGACGTAGATAATATATATTCATAATCTTAATATTGTAGATAAAACACCAAGTAGAACATCAACATCGTTGTATGTAACAGTTAAAGTGTTACTTATAGTTAGTTTATAGCCTAACTAATTCTAAAGAGTACGCAGTAACTATCTAAAAATTATTAGTAAATATCTTAAGCAGTTATAACGTCAAGCGTTCCAACTTTATATTACTCTTTTGGGGTTAGATGTGAGCAATATTAATTAATTTTATTTTTATTATTATTATTGAGAACTGGAAATGTAAAATAAAATCTTAGTTTACAAGGAATCGTGCCATTTATAACAAATCAAAATAAGGAAATTTAGTTCGGTTAAAAATTCAAGGAAAAATGGAGAGACCAACTTTCCTGTACTGGACGCTCGATTGAGTTATTATTTTCCAGCTTAAATATACTTACTATGTAATATTTTGTTCTTAGGGGATGATCCATGTCTTCTATGTTAATCATTTGTTGGAGGCATTTGAAAGCGGTAGCTTTCACCGTCGGATTTTCGTCATTTAACGCCATTGTAGAAACTAAACTTGGTAACGAGGCTTCTGTTAAAACTTCTCTAAAAGATGAAAAACCTGAAACTTACATTGCCTGGTTAATTAATCCAAACAATTAACGAATTATACTTTTATTCGCGTTATAAGCAATAGTACATACGACATCTAATACGGCTTTTCTTATTTCCCAATCGTTCATGAAACATTTACGGTATAACATTGGGCCAATATCTTTTAAGCTTTCTGGAGTATCTATTAACAAGGACATACAAGGTGACAGCCTTTTTAAAATTGATTGCTCCATTAGAATTAAACCTTTAACAATAATCTGAAAAATCAAAATAAACTTAGTCATCAATTGGACATCAATACACAACATTAATATATTCTGTTTTTCAATTAAAATGTAATATACATACGTCGTTCGTCCAACTAAATGACGACAAAAAGTCATACATTATTTGTGGTAAATCTAACGCCTTCACCCCATCGCCCCAGCTGAAATCAAAGTCTTCAATAAAGAGCAATACGGTGGAAAATAAGGTACGGACATAGGTTTCTTGGTTAGGCGTCATGGTTAAGCATCCACAATTAATTCTAATATAGTTTAGAAGATCGTCGAAAGAATAAATCAAACATTCGAAAATGGCTCCCAAATTACCAGGGGAATACAAGTTTTTCGTTTTCGCTATTCCTTCTAAAGCTAGAGGAAAAATTTCGGTTGGATATGTCGGTAACAAATGCTTGATTTTGAATCCTAAAATGGGATGATGTAAAATACTTAAATAGTTAAACTATAGTCTGTCCAAAAATAGAAGGATGATAGTGGCAGTTGTTGTCTGTCATTTAAATTCAAAAGTGGATAGTATTTCTGGATGGTGTCTGTCGAAACTGTTTCTTCTCTTATTGGACCGACTTTTTCTTGTATATATATGCAGAGGGAAAGGAAAATTTTTGCGCAGGCCGTCATTTCATGATTTTAGCATACATTTGAATATTGTATGAAATTTAAATAACTTGTTTATCATACAGTATATTTTCCTAACAACTTTTTATCATTCTGTTTTTAAAGAATTACTTTTATTTTATTACATAATGAAATGGCGACTTACTTAACCCTGGTTAATAACTTACCGATTTTTAAAGACTGCAAACTGCATCTTTTCAGCAACTGTGCCAAATGAGATACTCTTAATGTCTCAACTTTTTCAGGAGAGTTGAAAAAATTTTGCAATTTTTCCGCCACCAATATAATAGGTTCCAATTGTAATGCTAATAGTTCGCTCTCGATGTCCAGAATATTGCCCTTCATTGTATACCTTGGCAATTTGTTAGTCATACTTTTTGTGTATTTGATGCCATAATAGTATAGCTCAATTGCTATGGATAAATCGCCTTTTTGAATTTCGTGGTCAATTATTCGTAAAAAACCGCTAAGTACCAGCGGATCCTGGCTGATTGATTTGATTCCATCGAAAATTTCAGTCAAACCAAAAAAAGACAGTAGAATGCATATTCTCTCTAAGACTAAACATAATTGCTTTTCGGTTATTTTTTGCGATAATTGATCACTAATTACACCTACCTAAAATGATAATTCGTTCAAAATAAACTATCATATGTATTTAGATTAAAATAACTTTACTCAATATGACAATTCTAGTAGTGCAAGTGATAGTTTTCAGAGAATGTAGTAAATAAAATCCTTACAGTGAATGTATAAAATTAAAAAAAAAATATTTTAACCATTACCTTCTAAATCGACCAATGTTTTACAGCTATTATTGTTCATTTTCCTTTTAAAATCACAAAATTGAAAGATAAACTGAATTAAAAAAATAAAAAAATAATAAACTAAAAGAATAAAAGAAATATATAAAAAAACTAATTAAACTAATAGAATTGAGTTAGTTTACAATTGATAACGGTCAGTGATACTTTGTCCAAAACGCAGTAGATATGAGGTAGATAAATAGATGTATCTTAATTAATTTGTTCTAATTAGGTACCTTTAAATTTATAAACTTGTTTAAAACTTTTTCGCTGCTATTTTCTAACAATCGTTCTAAAATATTTATCAAACATAATAGACATGGTTTCAGTCTGTTATCTAATCGTACCATACTTGGAGCCGTAAAAGTGTTAGGTATAGTCAACTGAATATCTGCATTGATTAAAGGTGTTATAATGATTCGTATAATGTCCTCGCACATTGTCTCATCTATCTCTGTAATTTTTCCCAAAAGCTCTGTTAAAACTATGTATCTGAAAAAGAAACCTCTCATAAATACATGTAATATTTAATACCATCAATAACATCGAATATAAAAAATGCCAATTTCGAAATTTTTTATTTTCCTTCTCTTATAAAAACCAAAGATAAAAACTATATAAAATTCAAAATTTGAAGTTTGTCGAACTTCTAGAAGTGCTTTAGAATTTTGATGGCGGTGGGTGAGTCACTGTCGAAATTAGAGAAGTTTAAATAAAATGTATAAATTAATAATGACCTGTATGATGAGAAAGGGGGACACACACTGGATCTATATAAGAGGTCACGGTAATAATTAACCTCCCTACCAAACATTCCACGTTCTACGTAAAATTCAAAATTTGAATTTAATTTAGTGTGAGAATAATATAAATACAATTAGGTACTTTTATAGTGTAAGCAAAAACTTGGCACCAATTGTATTTATTGGTTTTTTTCACTTATACCTTACCCAAGTTCAGCTATATCCTTGTCTTCTTGAAATTCGAGGGAATTGTTATATACGTTCATCCAAAATTGTGACTCGACAGTCCATTTGATACCAGTTTGATGATGCAGAGTTGAACGAATCAGTTCAGCGAACAAGATTTTGAATAACTTATTCGTAGAAATTGGAGGCAATTGACACATATACAACGCATTATATAATGATCCATTCATATTTAAATTGATAAAACAAGTTTCATCTCGCAGCATGTGCTTCATCATATGGAGTATAAATAGCAATTTGGACGGTTTGAAAAGTTCAGTTGCGGCCGATAATAAGGACAAAGTTTCTGCGACGCATTTCTCGAAAAGCTCCTTGTCTTCGTATTTCGTTTCATTGTCCGCTTGATCTAAAAATATCAGATGTGATCAGAAATATAAAACCAAATTATTCAACACATTAACTCATCCGTAAACTGTATTATAAAAAGACACTATTGATACCAATTTTCGGATTCAAATAGTAAAAAATATTCATGAAACAGAAGCAGGTGTATATGAGAAAAAAAAATAAAAATTCTGTGAAAATTAATAACACGATTTTTTCTTTTAGTGGACCTTTCATTGAGAGCTGCAGCATGTCATGTTGCAAAATAACTTAAATTATTCAATTTAATTATTATATTTTATTCTTATTCATTTGATTTAAATCTTAGATCTTTCGATAGATTGATCATTTTTCTGCAAAATAAAATGAGAATTTTTTTTTAAATTACATGGTTTTTTACATTTCCTATGTCCAGGTCGACGATGCAACACACGGTATATTTAAATCAAAAGTCATTTTAGAACTTTCTTAAATTCTAAGTGTTAACTCGGCTTTCGAAAAATGACTAAAGTCATTAAAATGATTTAATGATCTAAGAGAGATTTAAATTTTCTGAAAGTTTGCGGCTCTGATGCTCTTGTCTGGAAGTAAGCATCTAAGTTAGTTAATATCCATTATCCAATTCAATCTAATCTTTAAAGGACAAATTAACGTAAATATTGTTACTTGAACTAAGAAAAAAGAAAGTACTATATTGAAGTAAGAAAGATAACAATGTATAATACATACCTGTTGAAAATACAAGTTTTAAAATTTGATCAAACGTTAGCTGAGATTTCTTATTCTGACAGGAAAAACTATCAAGATATTTTTTCAAAATGTCATTCCATTGTAAGTCTAACAGTTCATCGGAAAAATATCCGCAATCCATATTGTACGATTCAGTAATCGTTTAAACATTATTTGCATCCTATCATCATTATCTAAAATAAATAAAAAAACTTCCATAATAAAATATGAAATTTTGGGCATTTATACAGATAGGAAATCTTTGAATAAGCATGTAAATATAAACTGTGGTATTACTACTTACATTATCCAAAAATATAATAAATCAGCAAATCTAAAAGTGATAAATATTTAATGAATGATTTTGTTATAAACTTTTCGTTTTAGTTAAAAAATATATCACCATTCTCACAAATTGCACACCTTTGCGCTGTATCCCACCTTTTTAGTTTAGAAATTATGAAATATGTATAGAACTGGAACATCCAATAATGTCAGAATGTTACTAAATTTTCTATACGAAATTATTTAGATAACAAGGTTGATGGCCTTGACACGGCCTCTGAATTATCATTAATGTACGTACTTTAAATCTGTTTTCATTTAGAAAATAGTTACCGATGGTAGATTAAATTGGCTATTTCTCTGTTTTTTGTCTAACATTATTAATTACAATATGGTTAGTAAAAAATTTATTTCCAAAACTTAAAATGATAAAACTGTAGGACAACAGTGACTACCTGTTCGGGCGCTCCGCCTTCTAATCCACAATTATAAAAATTGTCTAATTATTATTTTTTTAATTTCAAACCATAAAGTAGATATGCTAACAAAAGTACCGTTTACAGTTTTCTCTCACTACGCAACTGCTTTTTAAATGTCCGTGAACAAAACTTTTATTGACATCGGGTCAATCAATAATTTTCCCAATCAACTCGATGTATTTTGATGATGTTACCAGTATTACTCACCAAGCAATAATTAAGGCCGTAAACAATCATAACACATACACATACAATTTTATATACTTATCAACTTACTACATTATAATAAAATTAAATAAAAAAAATATTGTAAGTATATTCCTGACGATTAAGTGAAAAGATTTTTGTTCTTAAATATCTACTATACACATTATAAACGCGTTAAAATATTAATTGTGTGGAATATCAACATAAAACGAGATTATTAATGAGATATTATCGTAGCAACAGTTATTTTAGAAACGTCTAGGTTTACTTATTTCACTAAAATTTACGAAAAAAAGTCCTTTGTCTCGGATATAGAAACCGACACGTCGTGGAAGTAGTTCGAGACAAAACGAAATTCAACGAGACAACAGGAAACAACCGAAAGTGGCCGAAAAAATTTTCCCAAGACCTTCAACGCAATTTCCCGAGTAGTTTCGAGGCGTTTTTAAGAAATGAAAGTAAGACAAGATAAAGTTAGAAAGGAAAGACGAGGCAAAATTAGGCCAAAGAAGCAAACACGACCTTGACCTGCTTCGAACTGTTTTCCGGATAGTGTAGAGGGTGAAGTGGACGACTATAGTTTTTAAATGTATCTAAAAAACTGTAGTCTCTAATTGGTTACTTTAGTTTTACTTGATAATGACTAGTAAATCTTGTAAGACGAAGTATGGTAAACAATATGAGAATAATAAAAACACGTGTAAATAAGTAGTAGAAAAATATTGATTATATTAAAATGCTAAAGTGGCGTAAAATATAAAAAAAGTAATTTAAATATTACGCTTTAATTTCAACTGACACATATTTCCATTTAAGCACAAAATAAACGTAAAGGTTAATATATTATGAATTTTAAATAGAAAATAAATATACGTAAGTGATTTAAATTAATAATGAACGAATAGTTCAGTTCATCACTCACATTTAGAAAACCAAACAAATTGAAAAATATATATCTTTGATTGATCAGTAATTAGAATGGAAAACAGAAATAGTGTACGAGAATTTTATAAAGGGGGGTAATTTCTTTTTATGAAATTTTAACGAATTTAAACTATTTATACATATTAATAAAAACTACGTGTTTTGTGTAATAATAGCTGTGTGCATTGTGCTTCGTAACAATTTATATGTAGGCGTGTGTAAATATTGGGTTTTGATTATTGCTTATATATTTTATTTGTTGTAATAACCAACTAAGTAATAATTATGAATACATTTAACGTTCTTAATAGGATTTTTAAAATTGTTGGGAATTTTATATAACGACTCAAAAAATCAACTTTAAATTTTAGTTCTTTTTTTATAAATTCTTCTACCAATCAATCATTGAGTGATAATTGATACTTTTATTTTACCGTGTAGTGATTTTTATTTTTTTTAATCAAGTTTAATTTTTTCAGCTAAAAACATTTTTATTGCCGGCGCTACTGGATTCATTGGAAAAGCTCATATTGAGAAATTGTTACGCAGTTGTCCAGATATTCATAATCTATATGCGCTAGTGAGGAACAAAAAAGGAAAAACTTTAAAGGGAAGAAAAGAGCAATTATTCTCCAATCCGGTAAACATTATTTTATTAGGATTTTGTTATCGTTTGTAATTTTGGACCAAAGTGTGGTGATAATGAATATAACTAATTTGACAATGTTAAAATAGTGTTTCTATTTCTTATTAATGATTGAATTAATTATAATGATTTGCCCGTACTCTCAAATATCAAAAACTCTTATAAACTGTTTTGTGTATGAAAAGAAATTGTAAAAAATTTCCCCTGCACGCACAATATCTAAGCATTTCATTTATTTAATTATTTTAGATATTTGATTTATTGAGGGACAATCAGCCTGAATTATTTCGCAAAATCTTATTCATACAAGGCGATGTCACTGAAGACAATTAAGCAGTGGCGCATCCAGAGTTTGAGTCTGGGAGGGGTAGGGAGAATTTAAATTAAATTTTCGCTCAAAGGCATTGTGACTATATGGAAAAAAATAACTTAGGTTGTTCTGGATTTCTATTTTGATAGACATTATTAATTAATTTTGTGACAATTTTATTTTATATACCAGATTTTCTTATTTATAATTTTTTTTCTGGGAGGGGTAATTACCCCCATTACCAGATATTCATAGTTACTTTTTGATGTTATTTTTCAATATGATGAGGCGGCCTTGGTGACAGTAGTTATTACAGTTATGTTTTTTAAATATCGTTAGTTCTGTTAGTGTTTCTAATATTTATTAAAACCAAGCCTAAAAGCCTATATCTTTACTTTTTATCGTTTTTTAAAGTTTAATATAGAGTTTTAATGCACATCAAGATGATATTATGACAATAGTCAGCAAAGCCACGTCGTGATATTAAAAAATATCATCATAAAGTAATGATAGTTGAAGAAATTGCAAATTGTTGGTTGCAAGTTCAATTCGTTAGGTTAAAATAACATTTTTTAAAAATTGGTCAAATCTAATTGGTTATCTTTTCCACCAAATAATAGTCTGTGCTAAAGAAATAAACTGCTAAGTATTATTACATTTTTTATTTTTATCTGTTATTTTATTCTAACAGGTATATCCGGTGGTAATATGAAGATGTTAATAGAAAACGTTCACGTGGTATTTCATTGTGCTGCTTCTGTTAAATTTGATGATTTTTTGAAAGATGCAATTCGGACAAATTTAACAAGTGCAAGTGATATGGCATCGTTGGCACTAAAAAAAGTTTGAAAATTACACGTTCTTATGCCTGTTTAAGAAGGCCGAAGAACGACAATTTGACTCAAAATACCAAGTATAATGTGGTATCAAATTATTCGTAATAAAATGCTTTGTCTAGATTTGCTAATCAGCCACCCTCGTTATATTTGAAAAAAATTTGAGATATGATTATAAATACGATTTGGGCAACTTTTTAACCGGTCAGGACACGAAAAAATATTAAACGATGAAATCTATTTTTCAAAAGTTCCTTGATCAAAAATTAGCGTTTTGAACACATCCATGGATCGACATTTAAAATACGATTGTTTAAGCGAAAATGTCAAAAGTTAACATGTCATATATCATTCTATTCAGAGTGTCATTTTCTATCGAATAAAGTAGAAATATATCGAGGGTGTCATTTAAAAATCAAAAGTTGTAGTCATTTCCGGTAAAACAGGAAGTGACAAAAAACATTTGAATCACGTCAAACAATCCTAATTTATGTCATATACTAACATACCAAATCACGTATTTTTATCTGAAAAAAAAAGTTATAGGGGTGAGCCACTTTTGATAAACAGCAGGTATAGATTTAGATTGACATTTAGGCAATCTTCTTCGCAATCATTAGCAATCGCTTGGCAAAAAAATTATATTTTGGTAGTGTGTTTTTTACCCAAGTGAGACACTCTTTGATTCAGATTAATATACAGAACCCCCAAATATTTTTGGCCATATTTTGATACAAAATACAACAATGTATGACTTAAGTTATTTATTAGAGGCTATTTTAGACAGTTCCAGAAGAGTTGATTCCAGCAATAACTGACTGGAAAGAAACAATCTACGTTGCTGAAAAATGCGTTGAAAACTTACTAAACATCTTAAGTCACAAAATTGTTGGGAAGTATCCGAATACTTATACATATACGAAACATTTGGCAGATCATTGTATAAATGACTTGTTAGGGTCCAAGATTCCTACAGTAATAGTGAAACCTACTATAGGTAAGATTTTGGTAATATACGCAACAATATGATCTAATACAGTTGATCGTTTACACTCGGTTCAGTGTGAGTTCATATCTAAACTAAGTTTAAAATTTGCATAGGCTTTTCCAAACCAGAAGAAAGTAAAAAAAAATATGTATGTAATTGTTTTATAAGATAAACTGTTTTTGATTTTAATACTATTCATTATTCAATCTACAATTAATTATTGTGTTCATTGGGGGTGAAATATAAAAATAAAAAAATATATAAAAAGTAATTATTAATTTTCAATTTTTTTAATCTTTAAATTAAATAAAATAAACGAACAGAGTTTGCACTAATCCGATAGGTTGTTAGTGGTTTGTTGTATCCACGATATGTAAGCAGCAGTGTCGACATATATGGACGGGAATCCAGGGTTTCCACATGGAGTGTATCCCCAGGAAACAATACCGACTAAACGGGCATTGTGTACCAACGGGCCACCGCTGTCACCATTGCAAACAGCTTCGGTGCTCGAAGGATAAGTAGTTGTGCAAAGGTTAAAAGCGGTTCTGAACGGGTTATCCATTCCAGAGAGATAAGCTATTAAACTGGCACAGTCTGAGGAATAAACTGTTAGTATCGATTTATATTATTTCATATTCTTTACTTACCATCTTTAGACAAGAGCGGAACTTCAACAAACTGAAGGTTGTTGGGAGCAACGTTATTTGGAGGTCCGAGTGATCCCCATCCGGACACGACAGCAGTACCACTAGGAATGTCACCAGTAACTGGAAGTGCGATGGGTTGTACGTTTATTCCATAGGTTAAGAGGGAAGCCAGACGCATAACGCTGATGTCGTTAGCAGAGACACTGTAACCTCTACAAAAATAGCAGTATTACTATACCTGCAAGATTATACAAGCTTGATTCTTCCTACCCTGGGTATAAAGGATGGTTAATATAATTAGAGACAGCTACAGTTTGCTGGTTGGGAATTTCAGTGTCGGTTTGCAACAGGATTCCGGCAGTTACCCAAAACTGATCGGCTGCATAGTATGTGCAATGAGCAGCCGTAACAACCCATCTTAAACGGACAAATAACTCATTTTTAAAGCACAAAAAAGTAATCTGTCCAACGAGAGAATACTAGACAATGGCAGTTGTCTCTTTTTTAATGAATTGCTCTGCCGAAATTGTCCCATCTTTCACTGGACAGTATTTACAATAACTAATTAAAATTGAACATGTCGTATTACCTTGGGCTGAGGATTGAACCTCCACAAATGTGGAAGAGGCTATTTCCATTGATAACACGTAGAGAAATTTGGTAAGGAAACTGGTTTCTGGCAGCGTCCAAACCAGCAGATATTCTCAAATCGGAACTGTTTGAGTACTCTCTGATCTCTACTGGATAAAACTCTGGCTGGATATAAGCATCGGCTAAAAAATTAACATAGAACAAAAAACATTTGAATCAAGTGGTAAAGAGAAAAAAATCAATTATTACAAATTAAGTACTGGTATTATTAAACTTTTGTAACGTCCTTATTATCAGTTGACAGAAAGAAAAGAAAATTAATAATTAATATATTTTAATTGATTAATATATTTTATAAGAGTGTTAAATTTTTTTCCTATAATGATGATATCAAAGTAAGTAGAAAATATAATAGTAAATATTCTCACCCAAAGCTGCTACCACAACAGCTGCCAATATTAGAAGAACCTTCATCTCTACTAGCGTTAAGTTAGAATACTTATGCGTTTTATATAAATAAATATGTCTGCTTATCAATTACTAGTCATTTAGAAAAATATTTAATTCAACTTCCACTCGCATTGAAACACATCATTCCTTGCCAAATGTGATGAGCATTTTTTTCCGATCGTATCGCATTTCAAGATATAAATCAAGATATAGATAATTTTGCTCACGTTTTTGTGCGGGAATCATTGATTATTTAAGTAAATTAAATTTATTCTAATACACAACACATTATTTGAAGAGTTGCGGGTCTCAGGGAAAGATAAAAAGTATACTAAAGGATTATTTAACCAAAAAAGCATACTATAGCTTGAAGGATTTTTTTTCTGATTCGCATATCGCACTTTTTAGTGAACATGTTTTTATTTGTAGTAGTTCTAGTAAATATAGTGTGGACTCTTGATGGCTACTCGTATAGTGCAGTTAGAAAGACTAATTATTTTGAACTATACAATAATTTTCGAATCATATATTTTATATTTTTTGTTGCCAAGTATTATTCTCGTTTGTCATCCTTATTTAAGTGTATTGGCTTTTGTTTTATATTAAGTCTTAAGTTTAATTTTTTGCCATTTTCACAATGTTCCATGCCTGCGGACTCTAGGAACTTTCGTTTATTCGGAAAAAATAAATTAATATCTAATAAATTAATAATATCTATTTTATTTAGTTTACTTTATAGAAATTTTTCAGTTATATCAGTGGCGTAGCGTGCGTTATGGGCGCCCGGAACAGAGAGCTTCTAGGAGAGAGGTTTGCCGCCCCTACAGAACCCGTCTACCGCCTTTATATCAATTTTTTTTCGCCCCGCAGGTACTTGGAAGGCCGCCGCCCGTGGCGAAAATTCGAAGATTACCCTTTTCTTAAATCAAGGATTATTTTTATTTTTCTCTGTCATAGTTACTTCAACCAAAATACTAGAACATCGACATATTATATGAAAGACATATTGCCCTCGGAACCAGATGATACTCTTCAGATGCCAGGGATGATACTCCAGATGATTCAAGAAAATATTTTTATCTGTGTACGTTTGTTTTATAAAAAGGATGTATGTACTTAATAATTCAAGTACCCAGTGAGTATTGAAAACTAGTTTGATACCTGGTTTATAAGTACTTCCGTCGTCTATAATAAGCTTTACGATAAAATACACAAGCTTAACTTAAAAATATATTACCCACCAACAGATAATCAATTTTTTGGTAACAAAAGCAACGCTCCAGAAAATGTTTATTATTTTGCTATTCCATATACAGGGTCGCTGGTATGTATAGGAACGTATGTAAAATATAAGAGGTACCGCAAAAAGTTTAATATAAAAGTTATATAGGGTTGTTAAATATCTATTAGTGGGTAATATAACTTAGTTATCCTCAGTTTTGGGATGGATGTTAGTCTATGAACGAAATAAATTGATTTATTAATTTATTGATTTATTGATTTATTGATTTATCGATTTATCGATTTATCGATTTATCGATTTATCGATTTATCGATTTATCGATTTATCGATTTATCGATTTATCGATTTATCGATTTATCGATTTATGGATATATCGATTTATCGATTTACCTATTTACCTATTTATCGATTTATTGGATTTATCGATTTAATTTTTCGAACCCAACTAAAATTAGAACTGGAAATTAATTTTCTGCTCGGTAATTTTATCAAGACGATGAAAAATATGACGTCTCCTAAGTCAGTTTTCAGATTATAATTTAAGCGCTCGGTCTGAATTTATCATTTAAAATAAGCAATAAGGGTTTTTTCTCTGTTTCAATGAAGCTCTGATAGTTTTAAGTAAGATTAAGATTTATCGATTTATCGATTTATCGATTTATCGATTTATCGATTTAACGATTTATCGATTTATCGATTTATCGATTTATCGATTTATCGATTTATCGATTTTTTATTGATTTATTGATTTATTGATTTATTGATTTATTGATTTATTGATTTATTGATTTATTGATTTATTGATTTATTGATTTATTGATTTATTGATTTATTGATTTATTGATTTATTGATTTATTGATTTATTGATTTATTGATTTATTGATTTATTGATTTATTGATTTATTGATTTATTGATTTATTGATTTATTGATTTATTGATTTATTGATTTATTGATTTATTGATTTATTGTTGATTTATTGATTTATTGATTTATTGATTTATTGATTTATTGATTTATTGATTTATTGATTTATTGATTTATTGATTTATTGATTTATTGATTTATTGATTTATTGATTTATTGATTTATTGATTTATGATTTATTGATTTATTGATTTATTGATTTATTGATTTATTGATTTATTGATTTATTGATTTATTGATTTATTGATTTATTGATTTATTGATTTATTGATTTATTGATTTATTGATTTATTGAATTTATTAGTTTATTGATTTATTGATTTATTGATTTATTGATTTATTGATTTATTGATATTGATTTATTGATTTATTGATTTATTGATTTATTGGTTATTGATTTATTGATTTATTGATTTATTGATTTATTGATTTATTGATTTATTGATTTATTGATTTATTGATTTATTGATTTATTGATTTATTGATTTATTGATTTATTGATTTATTGATTTATTGATTTATTGATTTATTGATTTATTGATTTATTGATTTATTGATTTATTGATTTATTGATTTATTAATTTATTGATTTATTGATTTATTGATTTATTGATTTATTGATTTATTGATTTATTGATTTATTGATTTATTGATTTATTGATTTATTGATTTATTGATTTATTGATTTATTGATTTATTGATTTATTGATTTATTGATTAACTTATTTATTGATTTATCTATTTATCGATTTTTCGACTTAAATTTAATTTGTTTTTCTTTAATTTTTCTTCAAGCCAACTAAAATAAGAACTGGAAATTAATTTTCTGCTCGGTAATTTTATCAAGACGATCAAAAATCTGAGGTCTCCTAAGTCAGTTTTCAAATTATAATTTAAGCGCACGGACTGAATTTATCATTTAAAATAAGCAATAAGGATTTTTTCTCTGTTTCAAAGAAGCTCTGATAGTTTTAAGTAACTGTTCGTATCATTAACTTTTAACTTAGTTATTTTTAGTTTTGGGATGGATGTAAGTCTATTAACAAAATACATTTACTTATTTATCGATTTATTGATTTATCGATCTATCATTTATAGATTTACCGATTTTTCGATTTAAATTTATTTTTGATTTCCTTAATTTTTTTTCAAGCCAACTAAAATAACAACAGGGAATTAATTTTTTCTCGGTAATTTGGTAATGGATTTATGGATTTATTGATTTATGGATTTATCGATTTATCGATTTATTGATTTATCTATTATCTATTTATCGATTTTTCGACTTAAATTTAAATTGTTTTCCTTAATTTTTCTTCAAGCCAACTAAAATTAGAACTGGGAATTAATTTTTACCCTGTAATTTGGTAATGGATTTATGGATATATTGATTTATCTATTTATCGAATTATCGATTTATGGATTTATTGATTTATGGATTTATCGAATTATCGATTTATGGATTTATTGATTTATGGATTTATCGAATTATCGATTTATGGATTTATTGATTTATCGGATTATCGATTTATGGATTTATTGATTTATCTATTATTGATTTATTTATCGATTTTTCGACTTAAATTTAATTTGTTTTGCCTTAATTTTTCTTCTAGCCAACTAAAATAAGAACTGGGAATTAATTTTTTCTCGGTAATTTGGTAATGGATTTATGGATTTATTGATTTATCGATTTATTGAATTATCGATTTATGGATTTACTGATTTATCGAATTATCGATTTATGGATTTATTGATTTATCTATTATTGATTTATTTATCGATTTTTCGACTTAAGTTATTTTTCCTTGTTATTTTTTCTTCAAATAACTAAAATAAGAACTGGGAATTAATTTTTTCTCTGTAATTTGGTAATGGATTTATAGATTTATTGATTTATCGATTTATCGATTTATCGATTTATCGATTTATCGATTTATCGATTTATCGATTTATCAATTTATCGATTTATCGATTTATCGATTTATTGATTTATTGATTTATTGATTTATTGATTTATTGATTTATTGATTTATTGATTTATTGATTTATTGATTTATTGATTTATTGATTTATTGATTTATTGATTTATTGATTTATTGATTTATTGATTTATTGATTTATTGATTTATTGATTTATTGATTTATTGATTTATTGATTTATTGATTTATTGATTTATCGATTTATGGATTTATTGATTTATCTATTATCTATTTATCGATTTTTCGACTTAATTAATTAAATTGTTTTCCTTAATTTTTCTTCAAGCCAACTAAAATAAGAACTGGAAATTAATTTTCTGCTCGGTAATTTTATCAAGACGATGAAAAATATGACGTCTCCTAAGTCAGTTTTAAATTATAATTTAAGCGCTCGGTCTGAATTTATCATTTAAAATAAGCAATAAGGGTTTTTTCTCTGTTTCAATGAAGCTCTGATAGTTTTAAGTAACTGTTCGTATTATTAACTTTTAACTTAGTTATTTTTAGTTTTGGGATGGATGTAAGTCTATGAACAAAATACATTTACTTATTTATCGATTTATTGATTTATCGATCTATCATTTATCGATTTACCGATTTTTCGATTTAAATTTATTTTTGATTTCCTTAATTTTCCTTCAAGCCAACTTAAATAAGAACTGGGAGTTAATTTTTTCTCGGTAATTTGGTAATGGATTTATGGATTTATTGATTTATGGATTTATCGATGTATCGATTTATCGATTTATTGATTTATCTATTATCTAGTTATCGATTTTTCGACTTAAATTTAATTTGTTGTCCTTAATTTTTCTTCAAGCCAACTAAAATAAGAACTGGGAATTAATTTTTTCTCTGTAATTTGGTAATGGATTTATTGATTTATCGATTTATCGATTTATGGATTTATTGATTTA